TTTATATATTAATAAATAATTTTTAAATTTATTTATATATATATATATATATATATATATATATATATATATATATATATATATATATATATATATATATATATATATATATATATATATATATATATATATATATATATATATATATATATATATATATATATATATATATATATATATATATATATATATATATATATATATATATATATATATATATATATATATATATATATATATATATATATATATATATATATATATATATATATATATATATATATATATATATATATATATATATATATATATATATATATATATATATATATATATATATATATATATATATATATATATATATATATATATATATATATATATATATATATATATATATATATATATATATATATATATATATATATATATATATATATATATATATATATATATATATATATATATATATATATATATATATATATATATATATATATATATATATATATATATATATATATACAAATAAATTTAAAATTTAATTATTAATATTTAAAATTAATTATTATAAAATTTTAAAAATTCATAAATTTTGAACTTTAAATCCACCTATATATACTCTACCAAAAAAGTCAAAAGTGTAATGAAAAAAAAAAGGTCGGTATAAAGAAAGAAAAATCATTTATAATCACTCACATTACAAAGTCAAGATTCTTAATTCCACTATGAGTTTCTTTTCTTTTTCTAAAAAGTTTTTTAATGAAAAATAAATAATAAATAAAACGTAAAATAGATTACGGAATCAATGACGTGTTCAGGACCCAACAAAGAGTGGTGACAGCATTTGCTTCGTCAGCTTAACTACTTCACCCTCTTACCGACACCTCACCATTCACATTAACATAAGTTGTGGCGCAATAGTAGGTTTGCTTCATCCATAGCGAGAAATTTCGAATTTAAATTTTAAATATTAAAAAAAATTATGTTGAAAGCACCAAACTAAATAGGCCTAGCACTACTTGACACAAATTTTAGTTGAAGCTCTAACACTAGCTTTGGACACCAGATAAAAACCAAAAGAAAATCACTTTTTGGGGAAAATTAACTTAAAAAACAACTCACTAAGAAAAAGTAGCCAATAAATATAATGTATATCGATTTATATTATATTTTGCTAATTTTAAAATTATTTAATTTTACCTTTTTATTGAGTATTGACTATATTAAAGTTCAATTAATCTAAAATTAAGCTATCAAAGCTGATTCTAGCAACATGGGTTATGGTACATTGGTGGTAGTGTTTTACCTTAGGTCTTGGGTTCGAGCCCTGAGTATGAAGAAAATCCTATTGGGAGCACCACCTCCGAATGGACCCTGCAGAGCGCGATTCAAATTTAATCGGAGTTCCAATGTGGGCTCCGGACATAGGATAAAAAACCAAAAAAAAAAGAAAAAAAACTGCTTCTAATATTTAACTACTGTATATATTTCAGCTCGGTATACTCTTCCGTCTTTTAGGAAACTTCCTTGAGACACGTGGGTCCACTTTGTTGTCTTCTTAAAGTAACTAGGGACAAATTTTCTTGAATTCTAACCCTTTAATCTTTTGTTTGTTCATCGGATCTAGCTTGAGAATTAACAAAACAGTTTTTTTGCTCTGCAATTGGAAATTTTTTTGGTTGTCTTGACTGGAATGAATGTTGTTCCATTTGGGTAAGTTGTGATCAAGTAGTTGAAGGGTTATTAGTTGGTAGAATTTTCATTTGGGTTAGTTGTGATCAAGCTGTTGAAAATTTGCATGTTGTATTCTTGAAAAAGATACTATTTTTACTGTGAAATTGCATTTTAGCTGATGTTAGATAGGGTGGAATTGTTAGTTTCTGCTCAAGGGTTGATTTGGTTGTAGCTGAAATTGGGAGAATTTGAGTTGTAGTTTTGGAATTTGCTTCTTTTCTTCATCTTCGTTGTTGAATGTGAGGACTGAGGAGAAAGGATGAATTTCTTGTATTGGTGATTGATTAAGGTTTTGGAGAGGTTCTTTTTGTGCATAAGAGCCTGTGTGGAGACACTCTGATTTTCTGGAGTTTGACTATCTTAGATGTAGATAAAATTTGTGTATTTTTAGCCTATACAATTGTGAAATGGGAAGTTCTGCTGAACCATCATCTTCTATAAGCTTTACTTCAACTTCCAACACGTCGAATGGGTCCATTGGCATAGGCCAAAACACATGTGCTTGTGGTGGATCTGAGACAGGGAGTAGTAATGAAATCATCAGCTTAAGTAAACTCAGTAATAATTTAGAGCAACTCTTGTTAGATTCCAGCTCTGAGTTTAGTGATGCTGAGATTGTTGTTGAGGGTGATTCACTTGGTGTTCATCGTTGTATATTAGCTGCCAGGAGTAGTTTTTTTCGGGATCTTTTTAGGAACGAAAACGGAAATTGTGGAAAGGAAGGTAAGCCAAGTTACTCTATGATTGATATATTGCCTTGTGGTAAGGTTGGATATGAGGCTTTCCGTACTTTCTTAAGCTATTTGTACTCGGGAAAATTGAAGCATTTCCCTCCAGAGGCATCAACGTGTGTCGACAGTTTATGTTCCCATGACTTTTGCAGACCAGCAATCAATTTTCATGTTGAGTTGATGTATGCCTCTTTCGTGTTTCAGGTTCCAGAGCTGGTGTCACTTTTTCTGGTAAGTAACATGCTTTCTACTGATTAATTTACATTTCAAGTGGCTTTGTAGTGTTCATTGCGATTCAAGCTAACAAGGACGAATGCAAAAGGTTATTTGTGTATCTCAATAAAAGATAATTAGATCATATTATGAAATCTCTATGTGAGTTTTTTGTTTTGAAATGATTTTTTCCTCTAAACTTTGTTATAGTGTCAAAGAAAGAAAAAATTCAATGCTAATAATCATATGAAAGTGGCATCCAGGTAGTGAATATTCTGCACTGTCATACACTGCAATACCATTGTGATGTGAACCCAAATTCATTCACTTGCTCATACCTTAGTCCCTTCTTACACCATGATATTATTTTCAGTTAATATCGGTCACTAGGAGAGAAGTAGTTCTAAGTTTGTCTTAAACAGGACCTGGTGAAGTTGACATGGAAAATCTCCTACACATCGATGGACATAACCTTTGGAAATCAATGATTTTATTCTGCAATAAATTTGATTTGTCTATGATAAAGTTTATTGATATGTTTTGAGTTTAGAATGCATATCTAATAATTTTGTTTTAGGCAGTCGGTCATCATTGTCCGTTTAAGTTTTTGAGGGTAGTGGTCTCTGCAGTAGCCTTTTTAGATCTGCCTAATGGAAATAAACACAATGAATATTGGACACGCATTACTGTGGCTGCTTCCAGTTTCATAGAAGTTGGATGTGTTTGTTTAAAATATATAGAGAATTTGTAGCAACAACCAAGAGAACATTCTACTAACACTAGCTCGTATAATTGCAGCGACGCCTTATCAGTTTTGTCGGGAAGGCTGTTCTGGAAGATGTTATCCCAATACTTGGAGTTGCTTTCCATTGCCAATTGAGCGAGCTTCTCACTCATTGTGTTGATAGAGTAGCGCGATCAGATCTTGAAAGCACATGTATTGAGAAGGAGGTTCCCTTTAAAGTTGCAGAGAGTATTAAGTTATCGCAGCTGAAATGTCAGGGTGATGAAAGTAAGGTTCTACCCGTGGATCCGTTGCATGAAAAGAGAAAAAATAGGATATACAAGGCATTGGATTCGGATGATGTTGAACTTGTCAAGCTTCTACTTAATGAGTCTGACATAAGTTTAGATGGAGCCTACGCTCTTCATTACGCTGTTGCATATTGTGACCCCAAGGTTGTTACTGAGGTTCTTGGACTGGGTGTTGCTAATGTCAACCTTCGGAATACACGTGGTTACACTGTGCTTCACATTGCTGCCATGCGTAAGGAACCCTCAATCATTGTATCACTTTTGACTAAGGGAGCTCATGCATCAGAAATTACATTGGATGGGCAGAGTGCTGTTAGCATCTGTAGGAGGCTGACTAGGCCTAAGGAGTACCATGCAAAAACAGAACAAGGCCAGGAAGCAAACAAAGATCGGGTATGTATTGATGTTTTGGAGAGAGAGATGCGTCGCAACCCAATGACCAGAGATGCATTATTTTCTTCCCCCATGTTGGCCGATGATCTGCCCATGAAACTGCTCTACCTGGAAAACAGAGGTACCTTTTATAATATGCTTGGTTTTCCTCTTTTTACCAATCAAGGCCAAAGAACCTTCTAGTCTTCCAGTTCTGGAAGCTAGGCTTCTTTGGTTGAAAGTTCATACTAAGCAAGAATCAGTGGTCCTACTGAACTTTGTTCATTTATAGTAGGTACGTAATCAAGATTTAAGCATTTCATATCATTAGACCATGATCTCAAATCTGGGAATCTCCGAAGAGAGTATCCTTTGAATTTGTAGGGCAACCTTGACTGTTAATGTTGAAAGCATGGTAAAGTGTTGGCCTATTTGCACCAGGATATGTTGTTGATTAGTAGACTCTCAGACCCGGTTAATAGACATTTATATTAGCTTTCTCTAAATTCTACGAGAGGATCTCTGTGGGGCCAAGTTTTGGTCCAGGAACTACAGTTCTATCTTTTTTTGGACAATCAGGCCGGTCACGGTACCAGTTGATGCCACACTGAGAGGATGAGGGAATTTAGGGTATACTAACTAATCCAGCTGAAAGCAAAAAAAAGAAGGATAAACTAATAACACACACACACACCTGAGTAATTTCTATTATATGATGACTTGAATGAAGCCATGATGTTATCATTTACCAGTGTTTGTTTTTGTTTATGTACGATACTATTCTGTCAAAACTTGACTTGGTTTCTTAATTCAATTCTGATGAATCTGTTGTGGTCCTCACATGAATTAAATATGCCCACTGAGCAAGTAATTTAATGATGGCTTTTGTATTACAGTGGCATTTGCACGATTATTGTTCCCTCTTGAAGCCAAACTAGCCATGGAAATTGCAACTGCTGAGACAACAGCTGAATTCGCGGATCATTTGGCATCTAAAGGTTCATCTGGAAACTTGAGGGAGGTTGATCTGAATGAGACACCCATAATGCAGAAAGAAAGACTCTCGAAGACAGGTATCCACTGATAGCCAGTCTATTGATTAAGATCATCTTACATGCACCAGATTTCCTATTTATTTCTAATATCATCATCATCTAATCAGTAGCCATTTACTTGACATGAAGAGCATCTAGACAACCCATTTTCTGCTTACTTCCTCCTTTTCTCCCAAAAGAGGAAAAGAAAGAAAAACAAAGAATGTAAATTACTTTTGGTCTATTCTGTAGCATTAACAATTGATGTTAAATCCCTGAAATATCCAGGATAATAGAATAATAAATATGTCCATGTGTGTGTAGGGTTTTTGCCAACCTCCTACATGAGTCATGACGTATGCAACTTTATGTGCAATTTTCTTTTTCATCAAATACCCTTCAGACTTGAAAGAATGATTATATATATAGCTGGTAGCATGTATATGGCATGCCTGTAAGTATGACTATATATAGTGGAAATTCAGACTATAACGACTTCTTATCCTACTTTCACGCCATATCTTCTGTCGCAAAATTGTCCATCTCTTACTGTTGGTCCTTTCCCTCCCTTGAACATTTACGGTTAAGAAGAAGCAAGAAGAGCAACACCAGGTTTGTAGTTCTCTGTATAGGTTATCACCTGTTTGGACCTCTTTATCCTCAAGTATGTTGAAGTCTGCCCCTTCCAAAAGAAGATTGGCAAACACCTAATTTGTTGTTTACAAATTGGAGTAGGAAGAAAATGAGGGGAAAGGTGCAAAATTTTCCCTTATTTTGTTTGTTTTAGGACAGAAAGTGAAGAGAAGTTTTTGTTTGGACCAACTGTTCTCTCTCTTATTCCCAAACGTTTTCTTTTCTCCTATCTTCTCTTTCCTTCCCTAGTTTCTAGACATAAAGTGAAATAGGTAGTCTTCCATAGAGAAGAATCTACAAGATAAAACAAGTTAGCAGCTCATTATTATTTTCTTTATATGGTAAACCACACCCCTAGACACTCTCTGTACAGGAGTCAATGATGGTGCTCCCGTGGTGTCTTAAACCCCCAACATCGTTGGTTAGAGGTTGAGAGTCCTATGGACTATGCTATGCCTCACTTTTCAAGTGCAGCTCACTACTTTGCTGTCTTTTATTCATGATATCATGTCTTTGTGCTTTGAGTCCCTTGGTCATTTAAGCCTGTCATATCACTGATTTTGCAACATTCCAGCTTACTACTGAATGTTGCTGGAAACATGGCATAAAACTTAGTTGAGCTTTTCCCCGTATTTACTGCTAACTGTTCCTTCAGCAGGTTTATATTTTCCTTAACATTTTCTTGTTTGCACATAGGTTCCATTATGAATCGACAAATTCAGAATTGTATTTTCAAGCTCTTCTCATTATTCTAAATTGATTCTGATTTCATGGTTGCAGTTGAGCTGGGCAAACGCTACTTTCCTCATTGCTCCCAAGTTCTGGATAAGTTTATGGAGGATGACTTACCCGACTTTATTTTCCTTGAGAAGGGCACTCCAGAGGAACAAAAGATCAAGAGGCGGCGATTTAAGGAGCTCAAAGATGATGTTCAAAGGGCATTTAACAAAGACAAGGCTGGCCTTCATTGCTCTGGCTTGTCTTCCTCATCATCTTCCACAACTTTTAAAGACGGTGCAAGTGTCAAAGCTAGGAACCTATGATAGTAACTAGGTTTTATCCTACGAATTGTTTTGAAACTCAGTTTTGTATGTAAGATAAATAGTCTTCAAAACACTTATCTTGTAAAATTTTCATTATAGTGGCTGCTCTATCTTTGACCATTTTCATAGTCCATCTTGTTAAGCTTGCTTGTTCATTGTAGAAATAAAGTTGCATAAGAACAAGCTTGCGGAAATATTAATGATGTAGAAATGATTAGCGTGTATGGAGAATTTATCGTATTTTATCACTATGTAGAGATATTTGAATCATCTCTTTGTTCGCACCAGATAAACTTTTGAGAGTAAGTCATTTCTTGTTGCAGAAGATGGCGTTTATGTTGAGCTGCAGATCATTTTGATGTAAACAAGGACTCTTTGTCTTTGAAAGAGACGACAACTTGCGTTTGTGGGGCTTATTTTTCCTTATATCTTACCACTACTCTCTTTTTCTATTCTTCTCGAACTAGAATACAAGTTCAAGTTAAATATGATCTCACAAGTTCCTCAACAGATGTTTATATATTGCAACAATTGTCTGTATTTTTTGGACAATTTGTAAAACAGAAATTATAGGTGTTTTGGAAACAATTATCAGCCCTTACCATGTGTAAAATACAATCTGTATTCTTTGAGTGATTTGAAAGTTGCCCGGGATGCTAACATTTTTGTGGATGTTTTTCAACTCTCTTCAGACATGGGAGGATAGAAGTCATGTTTTGCTCTAGAATATTTGGCACCAAATTGATGCATAGCAGTGAAATTTACCTTTCATTAAAAAGACAATAAGGAATTATTTTTATAATGGTGGTGTCTGAGCAAGTTTGTGCACAACTCGCTCAGTCCAACAGATACCTTCCACTAGTACATGTTACTAATTAGTTCTGTCCACCAAAACTTGCATATGAGAAGAAATGATCTATCATTTGGTTTACAAAATCATTCCACCAGAACAACTTGATATCAGTGTTCTCCGGAATTTCTTCCTAGAATATTAGTAAATTTAAGGATAAAGATAATTATGCTCTAAAATTGCATAGAAGGAAGTAATTTCACCAATATACTCCAACAGGTTTAGTATGAGATAGTATATAACTTCCTCATAAGTCATAAGCAAACAAGAACACATAATATGTCGAGCTGCGTCCATAAAGGAGAGGAAAAGAAAGCGCAGGCACACAAATCATGACCTGTTCAAGAAAAAGGAGTTTTGGGGCCAAAACCATAGTGTTTCATAATTACATAGCATTACATCATGAACAGTTAATTATTTCGGATCAACATTAGGGAAAAAGAAACACGTACACAAACTGAGAAAACTGATATCTAACAGGAAAATTCACCCTCCGGCAAGCTGCTTGGAGGAGACTGGCCACAGTTGAAAGGCTTCAGAAGTTTGGCATCCAGGTTCTTACGGATTGCATCTTCTGCACAACAGCAGTGGAGTCTTTTGATCATTTATACTTTAGGTGAATCAAGGTGGTTATGGACTAGGCTGCTCAACTGGCTGGGCATAAATAGACCTGTAGGGGACTGGAATGAGGAGCTTCTATGGACCAATATGTGCGCTATGTCCGAATCTGGCAAAGGAGCAATCCTGTGCAGTGTGGTTGCTATGGTTGTGGCTATCATATGGACAGAGAGGAATGGCTTGAGATTCAAAGCAGGCCACTACAACATTGATAGAGTATGCAGAGAGGTAGCTTTGCATATACACATCAAAGGCCAAGAACTGCCAAAATGGGGGACAACACTAGCTTCTATATTACCAAGCCTCCCTTAATTGGTAGCTGCTTACTATGACTTTCAATCTTGCTTGTTGTCTTTATGTAAAGACTGTAGGTTTGATTAAGCATTGTTTTCCAGGACCCCATAGCTACTACAGCCTGTTGTTGTAAGCTCGAATAGTAGAGCTGTTTTGTTTTCCTTTGAGAGCTTGGAGGTCTGTTCCTAGCTGGATTTGTAACTATCTCACTTGCTATCAACACAATTTGTTTGTTTGCCAAAACAAAAGAAGAAGATATCTAACAGGAAATGCCCCAATCCATCGTTATGAAAACCAGGGGCATACAGAGGCTGAACAGAAAATGTACTATCATAAAGAAACAAGGAAAAGTAACACTGATGATTGAAGATACACACACCAAAAAAAAGTGTACTTACTGATAGTAACAGAATAGATAGTCTTCTTTATTAGTATTCCCCTCCCCACTTGGGAAAGAGATTCTTGAGTCTTAGTAAGGATAAGAGACTTTTTTTATCTCAAAAAAAAGGATAAGAGACTTCACCAGCAAAAACAATAGAAGATTGAAAGAATCAACAAATCTCTTATACAGGTCTAAGGACTTGCTGTCTGATGGATAACAAAGGGATTGCACCCAAAATCATTACTAACAGTTTTCTTCAAGGGTGGTGGCTTGGACTTCTTCAGAACTTTGGTGTCCAAGCCAACTAGGCGGAATGTCGACTAATCCATCGGGCACCCACTACCTCCCACCAGCATTGATACCAGCCAACTCTATCCACCAAGGTTTATCAGAAGGATGGCTAGGGTGTTACGTCAGATCTATTATTTTACAAGCTTAAAGATATGTAACATACAGATTTTACCACAAGCTTCTTTATATGAAATCACTCAATCAGTACATGGTACCTTCTTGTCCTGTCAGAAAGACCCTAACAAAATATCCAGCATGAAGAGAAAGGGCTGTAATGGGAGTAGCAACTAGTTAACAGAATGAAAGCAGAAAAAAAACCCAAGCAATACCCCTTCTGACACTTCAAAATATCATTGAGTGATGAGTGTCTCCTAACAAGAGACGTATTAAAGATTAAAAAGAAATACCTAGACAAACCAACAATAAGAAAATTGGATAATCAATTAGAACTAGATAAGGGAAATATGGCAACTTTATTAATCAAGAATGATACTGAAGTCAATCAGCTGGATTGAAGTGAACTTTTTAAACTTTCCCACATTGCTGGACCTTCTGGATGTATGTCAACAAAATATTTTACAAAGCGAGCATCTGAACAAGCAAGAAGAGTGCTCACTGATAATGTTGGTTTTGCAGCACCCTTTTGCTTCAGCCATGCATACATTGAAAACCGAAGATGGACTCTGTCCACATCGTAGCAGAGGTAAGATGGAAATGATACAATCGATTCCACCGGATAACCTAAATATGTTTTCAGTAGAACAATTTTCTTCTCAAGCACATTTTTGCTCTGGTTCAGTGTCGTGGGAGCCTGTTTAATCATATTAATTACAACATTGCAGTCCAAACCAGCGTTTACTAGGCAATCAAACCTCTCTTGCAACTGGTCTCCTCGTCCGCGGAACTGCTTCAAAGCTTTTGCCATCTCATCTGAATTTTCTACATAACCTAATCTCAATAAAAAAGTAGTTTTCTGAAATAATTTTCCCGGGTCCTGGGAAGTCATTTGCTCCACGTCAAATTTTGATTTTGAAGCTAATCTGAACAAATTCAAAGGATCATCCTTTATAGTCTGACATAAACAAAACTTGTCACCCTTGAAGTCCCTCAAAAGAGTCTTTGGTCCCTTCAGAGAATGTGAACCCAGAAGTTGTATATGTGTAGATACAATATTTGCAATTATTTCGGTCTCTAATCCTATCTCCGATAAGAAGTACAATGCATGCCAAAGATTTTTAGTACACTTCAGAGATAGCATATTAGGATTTTGACAGAAAAGTAAGTATATGTCATTCATTTTAACACCCAACTTCAGTAATTGCCCAACCAATACATAAATCTGTTTCCCAGAGCCTTCAAATAAGAATGCAGGGTTCATCGTAAACAAAGTCGCCATCTTTTCATCACTATATCCTACTTCATTGAGAAAATGCAATGTGTTAAGCATTCTACCCCAATTGTAGGAGTGCCTGTTGGATAAATATCCTCCCATCCAATCATTTTCAAACCCTAAAATTTTCAGTTTTTCAAGAACCTGAATAAGTTCACTGTTCGTCTCACCAACCAAAAGAGTAGGGGAACAAGTCACCAACTTTATAACTGTTGATCTGCTCAAACCCAGTTTCTCATAAGCCCTCAATTTCATATCTAATACTCCATGGTCATATCCAAATACATCAGTCGCTTCCTTATAAATCTTCCCAATTTTAGTGCGAGGGATGCCGTAATAACAAAGAACATGATAATTATCAAACAAGACATGATCATCACTCAAAAATATCAAATCTCGTGGAAGCATAGATGTAAGCTCGGATTGCTTCAACCCCAAGCTCTCTAAAAAGGGCTCAAACTCATTAATCGGATGGTACCTGAAGTAACGGGTTAATGCCCTTGTTACATCTTGATCATTATCAACCTTGGACAACAGACTTTGAAGAAAACAAGGTGAGTTCTTGCTAATGTGCTCAGCATCTACATAATTAAAACCTCTTGTACAATGCAAGTATTCAAAGAGTACTGCTTGTCCATCAGTTCTTGCAACCCGTGATATTTTATTGACAGCAGGGGAAATGGGTGTCTGAGTTGATAATTCAGGGACTTCAATCTTAGCATTAGGTGAACTACGAAAACAACGAATATTCAATGACGAAAATTTCTGGGGACTATGAGAAGTGGAACCCTTTTCAGAAATAGGAGTACTAAACAGGTGATTGAGGTGAGATATCATTTTACAAGATACACTTTTTCGGACTTTCCGAATTACTAGCATCTCAAGTTAGCAACAAAAGATTCTGAACCAAATTCAAAATACAATATCTTCCAAGAAACTCTCAAGGGTGATTCATATTCTACACAATTACATTAGAAATATCACATTAATGAACAATTCCTCAGCAAAAGATAGTTTCTTTTTGGTGATTTTTATAACTCAACAGAGTAGAATTGAAGTAATACAGAAAACCCAGAGAGCAAATTGTGGAATTGATACCTCTGATTGTACTTTGTGCTTCTCTGTGCCTTAATCTGCAATGCTTAGATACACAGAGGATTTTAGGGTTTTAGTTTAGATTCAAAGAGGAACCTCAAAATTCTAAAACCCTAGAAGAAGGAGGAATTAACCCCAAACCTTCTGTTCCCTCTATCTTTTTTTATCTTTTTTATTGTTACACTTAGACCCATGTATTTATTACTCAGTTACAGATATCCCCTTATATTTTTAAAATTATACACTTAACTACCACAAATATTAGCTTGAACAATATTTTATTTTATAAGAGCTTTAAGTATTTAATTTGGAAATTTAAGACATATATATGTAACTTTTTTTAATATTATAAAATAGAATGATTAAAATACAAAAGATTTCATATATATATATATATATATATATATTTGGTAAATAAATAATTTTATTACCAAGTAGGAATTACAAAACAGAAAAGCAAGTTGGACATCCCCCAGACTTGCATCAAATAACTAGCTTTCAATCTTAACTATCAAGTCTTTCACTATGGTTAGCAACATCATTAATCAAACTGCCTTACACTAAACATGATATGCATTCAGGAATTGGAGCACCTGATCAAGTCTTGCCTATTTTATTCCTCGTAGATGCACCTCTTGAACAATCTTCCTCACCAACATTCCAGGAGTTCTGATTATTTGCTTGAAGATACGTTGATTCCTCTCCTGCCACGCAACATAAACACTTGCAGCCACTGCCATCCTGTACACATGTTTGTTTGCCTTTGCAGTGAGTATTTGCCCACAACACTTCCTCATCCCATCCTCGAGCCTCTCTCTGTATATTTAACCAGTGCAAAATCTTTTGCCACACCTAAGCTGTGAACATACATTGGAAGAACAAGTGATTATGGCTTTCATCATTAGTTTCGCACAACACACATTGCAGCTTTTCTACGCACCCCCATGCAGTCAGTCTATCTCTTGTGAGTAGCCTTTTTTGTAGTGCTAAGTACAGTATAAAATTCCACTTTGGGCATGCGACATTATTGCAGATTAGTCTTCTCCATTCAACCTTCTGATACTCTCTCCCCTCAGAGCTTTGTACAATTTTTTGATAGAGAACCTGTCCATCTTCTTGATATACATCTCATTCCATTCAATAATTTCAAGTTCTTGATGCATTTGTAATATTTTCCTCACCATCCAAGAAGCTTGAGTTGCTTCTACACCCATAAGTTCCCTTCTTTCCCATAGTATTGATGCACCCATAATCTATCTTTCTTAAAACACAGATTCCACAACAATTTGCTTATTGCAGCCTTATTCCATATTTTTTCATCCAATATATTGAGTCCTCCTGCTGTCCTAGGCCTGCATACATGTTCCATGCAATTAATGCCTTCTTAGAAGTATTCACACCCACTGTCCATAGGAAAGTCATGTATATTGTTTTTATACATTTAATCACTTTCTTTGGGATTATGAACACTTGGGACCAGAACACTTGGATGGAAAACAACACACTCTTAATCAGTTGAGCCCTTCCTGCATAAGATAGAAACTTGGAAGTCCAACTCTGAACTCTATGCATTATCTTATCAATTAGTGGTTGATATTGTAGGATATATACTCTCTTGGTACTCAAGGGAACACCTAAGTACTTAAAAGGTAGTAACCTCTGTGAGAAGCCCAACTCTTATAGGATTTCTGCTTGTGTATCCCTTGGCACTCTTCCAAAATAAATGGAGCCCTTGTCAGCATTTGCTACTAGCCCTGAGGCTAGAGAGAACTCATGAAAAACATCATACAACAGCTTAATTGAACCAATGTCACCTCTACTAAACAGTAAAAGATCATCAACAAAACTTAGTTGTATAATCTGCAATCTCTCACATTTTGGATGGAAATTAAAATCAGGATTGTGTTGTAGTCTCTTGAATAATCTTGACAAATACTCCATGGACAACACAAATAGATATGAGGATACTAGGTTGTAATGACCCTCCTGGTCATTTCTGTGTTTTGCCTTCGGTGTGTCGTTTAGAGTGTTTCTGTAGCGATCCCAAGTCATTTATGACTTGTTGGGACTAACAGTTCGGTCACCTGGTCGTTCGTTTGATTATTGCGCGAGTTTTAGTGTTTTTGGAGCGTATGAACCTTGAACGATCATTTTCGATCAAAAGTTCAAGAAGCTGACATCGGAATCCAATTCTGATGATTCCATCAGCTCCGGAAGGATCATTTTAGGCTAGTAGCATGGTCGGCATGACTTTCGAGGTTTTCAGTGTGAGTCGGTGCGATTAAGCGTTTTAAAATTTAGTTTAAGCGTAAGTTTGACTTTAGTCAACATTCTGAGTAAACACGCTCGAATGAGAATTCTGTCAGCGCGGTCAGCTCCAAAATGTCGAGTTTGGTCTAGATTGACCCTTCTTTTCTGTCCTGAGGTTTTTGATTTTTTTTTAGCCCTTTTGTGGTTTTTGACTTAAAATGGCAGTTGGGTGTGGGACCCACTTTTTGTCAAGATGACCTCGTATGGAAATTTTGACTGCGTCATTAAGTTCGGAATATTGAATTTGGTATGGTTGCATATCTCATTTGCCTGCACGGGGTTTCGAACGAGATCGGAGCACCCCGTCAGAGTTTTAAATTTTTGGAAAGTTATTGCAGAAAAATCTGCTATAAAATGCAGATATATCAGCAACCCTTTTCCAAACTTAAAATCTCCATATCTCTCTCATCTCTCAATCGAATTAGGCGATTCGAACTACGAGAGCTTCGTATTTTTGGCGGCTTCGCGGTAGAGTGTTCGGAAGTTATCGGATACACGTAGTTCGAGGTAATTTCTCCATAAACCTGACTGTTGTACCCTTTTTCGGGTTTTTTGTTTTTGGCATTCTTGTTTTGGTCAAATCTCACTCATTTTAGCTCAGTTTTGGGTGATTTGAAGTCCCACATGTTGGGAATTGTCGTGGCTTCGTCATAGAGTGTTCAAGGAGTCTTGGGCACCATTAGATCCTTGTAGATTTTGAGTTTAGACTGCTGCATGTTTTCTTTTAAGTTGATTAGAGTGTGGTTTTCTTCCTTATTTTGGAACACAAGTTCGGTGTACTGCTTTGGGTCTCTTGACGGAGTCAAAATCGAATAGTTCGGTGCGGGTCCCACGATTCCCATTTTGACTCCAAAATTGACCATCTTCGTTTGTTGTGATTTTGGTGTCTAAAGGACCGTACTAACGTTGTAATCTTATATTTGATAGAGTGACAGCGTTCAAAGGTCGTTCGGGAAGGAAAAGCTCCGAGAAAGTGATTTGGAGCGCGCGCAGTCGGCCTTAAGGTAGGCTACGACTTCTTTTCTATTAGATTGAGCTTAATTGTGTAAAAGCATGTAGATTGAAGTGAATTGGGGGTGGGTACCAATTTCCTACTTTACTTTGATTAGATACCTTATGTTAAGAGCGATTGACCATATTTCGGGTATAGTATCATGTTAACCGATTTAATAGAGTTGCATGTTTATGTGCTAAATGATATTGTATGCTTGTATGTTATGTGTTGTATGCTTGTTCATCCTTAATCGTAAGCATGATGTCCTTAGTCTAGAATAGGCTAGCATTGCCTTAGACTTATGACCCGTGTGAGCTGGATTGCCTTGACTTTCTGTCGACGTCGTTCGGATGACTTAGCTCCTTGTAAACTAGAGTAACAGACTTGAGTTTGATAGTTGAGCCTTAGATTAGGCGTTATCGTTACCTACAGCACTTCTGTATCTTCTCTCTCTTATTCTGCGATTTCGACAAGTTATCGAAGGTTCGGTGCATCACTAGAGGCGTGGGATTAAGATAGTATAGGCTTGGAGTCTTTTCTGTGATTTCTTAGAGTGGACAACGTTCCATGGTGGCTGTTGTTGGATTGGATCCTATTGGAGATACCATCACCCCCGAGATCGTTCTTTCTAGCTGGGCTGGGAGCGTATCGCTGGCTGGGTAGACTCGGTGATTTCGGCGATCGCCTCCGGGCCTCTCTTTCTAGTTGGGATGGGAGTGTGCTACTGGCTGGGTGTCCCCGGGTCGCTCTTTCTAGCTGGGCTGGGAGCAGACTGCATGGTAGGACGACTCGCGATATCAACCTCACCCTCGGGTCCCTCCTTCTAGCTGGGCTGGAAGTGGACTGTTTGGTAGGGTACCCTTCTGGGGTCACTCTTTCTAGCTGGGCTGAGAGTGTACTGTTGGTTGGGTGGAGTCTGATGGGTTATCTTGGTTACTTTGGGCTGGGAGCCCAGTTTTCTTCTTTCTTAGTAGACTTAGCTTTTCTGTGTACCTGTCAGGCTTATGGGGGTCCGTTCATGTTTTATTTAAACTTGCGCACGAGTGCACCTTCTGGGCTTATGGGAGTCCAGTTAGGTTTAGTTTAGTTGTACTTAGTTTATTTTTTGTATTCTCGTGTGCTTTATTTTCATATTCGTTTTGACCTCTCTGTGTCTAGATTCTATCATTTCTTATTGTTTTTACCCATTTTGCTCAGTCGGCCTTTGATGCCTACTGAGTACATGTTGTGTTGGTACTCATGCTATGCTCTGCATCTACTTTGTGATGCAGGTTCCAGTACCAGTTACCAGCGGTGATTAGTTCCAGCCCTTTTTTGCAGCTGTGACTCGGAGACGTTGGCTAGCAGTTGGCGTTTTGGGTTTGTTCTGTCTCCTTCTTTTGTTTTAGCTAGTCTTGTTGCTTTTGAGACACACTTTGTGTGGTCCACTTTTGGGACTTGTACTCTTTATTAGATAACTCTGTACTAGTGACTTCCAGGTTCTGGGAGGGATTTCTGTATATATTTATTTTGGTTTGCTTCCGCCTTGTTGTCCTCGTTTAGATTATTGTTTTCGCTAGTTTCTGCTCTTACGCTCATTGCTTGATGTTTTGGGTTACGGGTTGGCTTACCTACTGGTAGGGTATAGTAGGTGTCATCATGACTCGAGAAATTGGGTCGTGACAAGTCTGGGTCCCCTTGTCTCAATCCTTTTTTTGCAGGGAAAGGGATACTAGGATGGCCATTTATGAGTATAGAATATGAAACTGTACTAGTGCACTGATAAATCCAATCTACAAACTTCCTAGGAAATTGCAAGTGTGTCATTACCTGCTTAAGATACCCC